GGAATATTGCTAAAAGCGGCGTAAAACCATACTCACTCACTCACTCACATTCACTGTGACTGAGTGAGTTTCAAATATGTTTGAACTGATGGCTTGCAAAATATTTATTTTCACAATAAAATACATATGAAAGGAAACTTTGTGAGCTGAATTTAACAATTAGTGAAATGTTTCTCAAACAAATATTTTCAAGGTTGTGTGTTTGTATGAGTCATCACGTTAACAACAAAGACTAGAACATCACTGATACCAGTGAATAATTGGGTGCGGTGAAGCGGGGTTTAACGTCGCTCTAAATTAGTTCACGTATATCGTGTGTATGGCTCTTTGCGCAAGTCAAAACGTATGCCGGTTTTATTTTACTTGTCCACTGACATACATGCCAAAACACCACAATCCCTTAACTGACGAGCGCCAAGAAGTATAAAGAAGTACCATGTCACATATCTTGGTTTGCAGAAGTGTGCCCCTTACCTATTGCAGGATCCGCTGATCGAGAGTGCGAATTGGGGTTATGACCCCGTAGTAGTCAGCGCCATCCCAGTTCCCATGGGTTTCACATCATGATACAATACATGACGTCGTCCGTTTCCTTGATAACCGAACCCTCTGATAAATACTGATTAAACTTAATATTTAATTAATGCGGTATTCAGACCGTATGGAGCCTTTTTTCAATTCTTGGACTGAAAAGAAATGCTTACCATGAAGAACATCCGATGTTTGTAGCATTAACTCCATGGTGTAGTGGATACAGTGTCTGCCCGGAGGTCGGCGGTTCGATTCCCGGTCGCGTCATACCGAAAGACGTTAAAAGATGGTATTTGTTGTTACCCTGCCTGGCGTTCGTCGTTAAGGAGATTAAGCAAAGGACTGGTCGTCTCGGGGTCAATACGTTGTGCCTGATATGAGTATCCATTTTGAACTTAGGCATTGTATCACAGGGCACTATAAAACTGGCACTAGTACGCACGCACGCACGCACGCACGCACGCACGCACGCACGCACGCACACACGCACGCACACACGCACGCACACACACACACACACACACACACACACCGACGTCATTAAATACTGGATGACTGGTGCCACTTGTACTGGAACAACGGATTTGAGCTATACAATAAGTTGCCATGCTGAGATGCTAAGTTAATATTGGCTGCTTGACTGGTCTGTTACATCAGCATGTATATTTTCTCAAGTTGCCTTCAATTGATTGTATGGAAGTCTTAGTTTCCTTTGGGCAAAAGATCAGTTATGATCAATAATTTTATACCTATGACTTCCAGTTAAAGAGGTTTCATTTTATTTGATGTAAGGTGAGATAAAATGGGATTTAACGTCGTGTACATGTTTAAGATTATTGCACTTATATGGAGACGTGCATGTACGTGTGTGTGTTTCCTTGTACAAGGACTAAGACCGGTTTTATACACTACAATACCTGTGATGACTTTGACATGTCTCTGTTTTTTTATCCACTGAATGTCGGGCGTCAGGCATTGTTATGTTCAACAACATCCATCTGTTCATGTATTTCGGTATGACGCGGCCGGGGATCGAACCACCGACCTTTCACTCTCTCACTGTACTTGGCATGGGGTAAAGGACGTTGGTGCATGTGCACTCTTACCGATCACAGTCGGGGACATGAAATCAACACTACACGATAATTGTCGACGTGAAGTACACTTCTATGTATTATTTAATCACCTGTTTACTTCATGTTTAATCCTAAGTGACGCGGCCCCACTAGAGCATGGCCGTCACGCCAGCTGCGCTGTGGCGCAAGTAGTACAATCAGAGGCCTCAATTATGAGGGGTTAATCACGGTGACGCCATACGTGTCTCCTCTCTGTAACGCGTCGCGATCGGTGTTTTATCATTCACCTCTTTTTTTAAATTGAGGCATCACCGATGTATCATACTTTGGTCTTGCAGAAATCACGCTCACCTAAACGTTCAGTATTTTCGATAGCTTTTCATGAGTGAGTTGGACTAAGTTTCGTGAAGACGTGTTTAAGTAAAACGAATCCTAAACTATAATCATTTGGGCTTGAATCATTAAACTTTAAGGTATCGTGTCTGTCAGTCAAATTTCGGTGATCACAAAAGCAGTAACTCACGGAGATACCGTTTTATCTCACATCTCTCATCTTAAAGCCAGGTAGGGTAACGACAAGTACCATCTTTGACGCGGCCGGAGATTGAACCACCGACCTTCCGGTCTTTCCACTAGACCATGGATCTTATAAACACATGATACATCAGGCTAATTTGTGTAGGACATTAATTTTGTGATGTTACTGAACCAAAAGTACATATCACCTGTTTTCTGTTTAAAGTACTTCGAGGCATTGGACAGTCAGTGTAAGTTTTAATGCATTAGCCGAGAGGGATGTTATCGGAACGGAAGGTCTGATAAGCTGGGTAGATATCGTTGTGTATATCACCTGGTATGAGTTTGTATTGTAGGAGACATGGTTCCCTCAAGAGGAGGCGATGACAGACTGGAAATACATGGTATTTTGTCATGATCTCTCAGGCCTAAAGGAAATGACGGTTATGGATCTCCATCTTCTATTTCAAATATTTGCAAACGGCACATTCGATTCCCTGCATTCGTTATGTATATGAAGAGTCGAGGGCATTTGTATTTAGTTACTTCCAGCTCGCTTGTAACGGTCGGTAATGTCAAGCACAGACGCCTCATGTCGGGTGAACGTTGTCTTGTTTTTACACACACACACACACACACACACACACACACACACACACACACACACACACACACACCAAACACACACCAAACACACACACACCAAACACACACACACACACCAAACACACACACACACACACACACACACACACACACACACACACACACACACACACACACACACACACACACACACACACACACACACACACACCAAACACACACCCCACCCCACACCCCGGCCCACACCCCACACACCCACACCCACCCCTCCACCAATTTGACCTGTGAAACAACATGATGAAAAACGTGTAAGAGCATTTTTCTGCATCCCGAAGACGACAAATTAGGTTGCGTTGCTGAAAATCAAAAGATAGACACGCAAAATAAAGTTATGTTCAATTCTGACTTTTTAAGTTTATAAGAAAAATGACTCAAATATATATCATTTTTTAGATGACTATTTTCATGAGTGAGTGAGTGAGTAAGCCAAACAAAGCTTACGCCATGTCAGTCTATAAGCGGCGGTTAACAAGATAAGCAGGGGTTATGAAGACAACATTTATACAACATGTCTATTCACATTTTACTCATTTTACAAACATTGCTGGTCGTAACAGATCTCCAACAAACATTGAGGTCACGGGTGGCCCAGACGTCTAAGATGCCGCGATTCGCTGTGCAGAGTTGCGTCCTTTGGGCACGCCAGAAACCTATGATTGTGGGTTCGAATCCCGGTTCGCCCCGATTATGTTTCTAGGTTTGTCAGCTGTCAATCATTCACTGGCCTGTGCTTGACAGTGGAATGCCCTGCTGTGGAGTTCAAAGAAAACCAGCCTGCTCACTGTTGTGCAAATTGTTTACCTTGTTCTCCATAGTATAGAGCTCATAAAGCTATTATTGTTAAGTTGGCAGCATCTTCCAGAGGCAAGGGAGTTAACTGACTATAAAAAGTCCGGTTTGCACCCTTGCGAACTAGGCTGGAATTTCGGCGTTTTATTTTGGTTGGACTAACGAGTCTATGCATAGTCCGATCAAAATCGCATAACGAAATCGAAATCCCGTCCGTAAACTACCGTGCAGATTTCGCTCGATTGCAGGATTTGAAAATCATGTGTACCACCAACTTGGCGTCAAACGATATTTTCCAAATCTTTTCATGTGTTTAATAAAGTTGCACACTTGATTTGATGTACTTCGCGAAGTAATACCGGTTATATCACAATATAGACTTTGATTATCAATCAGATCGTCTTGACTGGGCGTCGCCATTTTGTTTGAAGCTAATGCAAGTGATATGAGAGGTGGAATCTGATTGGTCAATGGAATGGACAGAGAAGGGACATAACTCGTAATAGTCACTGGTGGTGCTACGATCGAACCTAGAAATTCCACCCTTGTTCGACAAGGGTGGAAACTGTACTTTTATAGTCGGTTAACTCCCTTGCTTTATGAGCTCTATACTATGGAGAACAAGGTAAACAATTTGCACAACAGTGAGCAGGCTGGTTTTCTTTGAACTCCACAACAGGGCATTCCACTGTCAAGCACAGGCCAGTGAATGATTGACAGCTGGTGATTAATTGTAACCATATGGCTCTAGCTAGCAGACGACACGCTATTATAAGATGCACTGAAAAACAATTAAAGCTTACGTATAAGCACAGGGGCTGTACTTTACGTGGAATACAGTATTAGATAATACATTGTAATTTCATGCATTGACATATATGAACCATTTGTGAAGACGGACCCTGGCGTCACAATATTTTTTTAAGAATCCCAGAATAAGAATGGTGTTCAGAGCGTTTAAGAAACATAAATCTGAACAAGGAAAAGTTGTTGTTTTTTATTTAGATATACTCAATCTGTAATAACAGACACGAATTGATGGTGATGTGTATCCACTTCGAATGGGTGATTGGTGACCTAGTGCTAAAGATCCGACTTCGATTCCCCATATGCGTTCATGTGATGTCTGTGTCCCCTGCCGTGCTGTTGGTGGAACATTGTTACACCGAGGAACACCTTGCTCACTTCCAACAGAATGTACACACACGTCTCTTGGTAAGAGGCGACTAACGGGATCCGGTGGTCAGGCTTGCTAACTTGGTTGATGTAGGTCATCGTATCCCAATTGGGTAGGACGATGCTGATGATGTCAATCACTGGATTTTCTGCTTCAGACTCTATTATTTACAGACCGCCTTCATATAGCTGGAATATTGCTGAGTGCGGCGTTAAAAATCAAATAAACAAACAAACAATAAAACATGTATTTGGTATGAATAAACAACAACAAGGTTGTTACTTGTATTTATTTATATTCCATATTTGGAGAACCCCGGCCAGCGGTTAAAGAAGTCATATCGTTGGTTCACAGGTTTTCGGACACAACCAATTAAAAATCATATTTCCAAAAGCGTTGGCGTCAACCAGATGACGATCGGTGATCGTCGAATGTGTGCATAATTGGGGTCTGTGTGGAGCGTTAGTCATGTTGAATCATGCGTAACTGAAGGAAGAAATGGCTTCCGAAAACCCATGCCCCAATGATTGAATAGTCTATGATATGAGATATGTACGCTATTTGCAACAAGGGCTGATACAGCATACAAGACACCGTCAATACAATATACAATCACTGCTGAATGGGTTGATGTCGGGATCGTGACAAAAACTTACATAATGATTTCAAAGGAAATTTTGAAACACATATTTGTTTAATTTTAAAATAATGGACATTACTAAATTTACTTTACATTCGTAATGCGTGTACACTTAGTACTGGTTTCTGCAGAAAATAGTTGGTAATTATTTTAAAGTTGTAATTATAATGTACAACATAAGAATAATTTAGATCGTCAAGTGGTAATACAATGGTAATACAATGTTTCTTATCAGCGTGCTGGTCATTAAAATCAGCGAGATAATAATGTTTGGTTTTGTCCGGTAAAACATCCAGTTGGATATGCGTGTCGATATTGTCCCATAATTTTACAGAAGAGGTATCTTTCCTTCCAAAAACAACGCTGCAATTGTTGCTTCTACTGTAGGGGAAAAGGGGAAAGCCCTTTGTTGAGAAAAAAATCTGCAGGGCCTTTAGCAGGGAACGGCACTTTGGTATATTTTGAAGGTATTCGTGGTTCTGAGAAACACCCTAGGTCCATTCAATACATTAACATATTTCCAACAAATATATTTGTGATTTCGTTGAATTAATTTGGAAATTAAATGCGACCAGACAGACACTTCCACAAATGTTGAATTTCAGTCAGAAAATGTGAACTCAAAGACATACCAGCAAAAGATGAAGTATAGGTACACACGGACATATTTTAGATGAGAAATATAAATTAACATACACATATCCAATTTAACAAGCTTATACAGATAGGTTACGTCTCCTGCAGCATAGGTGCATACAAGTCAAAATGAGGACATGTACTGGTCAAGTGGTCATTAGTTCTCATACATGACCTCACCAGTGACCAGACACGATGCAGACCATAGTTTTTAGAGAGTATACAATACATAAGATATGTCAGATGTTCTCGGAGGAACGGTAATGTCTGCACAAACTATACTCACCACAGATGGTTGGCAGATGCATGCAGTAGTGCTTACAAGCCATACTGCGCCCTTGGTATCTTTACAAACACACCAACCACATCTGGAGACGATAACCAAATCTATCTACTTTCCACAGCCAGTATTAGTTCGACCTAGCATCTTTACTTTACTATTAAGTGGTCGCTTGCCTCCTCCCATGCCAACTACAGTGGTACGCATGTCATCAGCCTTATATCAAATCTCTCCTTATCGGAACAGTTTCCGTACACGACAGTCCGGTGTCTGTAGCAGAGGAAGTAGCGGGGGCTGGTGACGTTGCCCACGGGGAAGTTGAGGTACTGTTGGTCGGGCTGGCCCACACAGCTGGGTATTGTGTTCGTACAGTTAGTACAGTAGGGGTAGTTGTTTATCCCACAATGCTCGTGATAGTCGCCTGTAATACAAATGTAAAAGATCAGTCTCTTATAGTTTAATTCATGCATACATATATGCACTTTTAACGCATGTTATCAACCTAACATGTGCCCACGCGCTGGGAAAGTAATCCTATGTCCAAATCACATGTCCACGTAGGCAAAAAAGTAAAAAGTATAACCGTGATATTAGTCGTGATAAGAAGTATAAATTATTAAGTTATGAATGTAGGTTTATTGTTTCATTTCTGACAACCATATCAACACACAAGCACACACACACACACATATATATTATATGCATACGTACGCACGCACGCACGCACGCACGCACGCATGCACGCACGCACGCTCATACACAAACAAACACACACACACATACATACATACATACATACATACATACATACATACATACATACATACATACATACATACATACATACATACATACATACATACATACATACATACATACATAATTCCAACTACCGCCGCTCGAATGTTTGTTTTGTTAAACACATCCTCAATAAAACAACATGGTTACCTCATGGTAAAGGTATATGGAGACAGACTCACTTAGACATCCTTAAAAAGAAAGGTTTAGATGTAAGTTTACAAAACAACTACTTTTCCCAACGGGGATACCACTGGTATCAAAGAATTCGATGAATTGGCTCTGAGTAATGACGAGAAACACTACTGTCAGTCATCTGCATCATATAGTTCATCAAAACTCAATACAGATGCGACATTTAGTTATGTGTCTGTCAATGATAAAAACTTACAAGCATTCAGGGGTTCCGTTCGATTTCCACAATCGACTGATGTTGAAATGTCTTTGAAGATGTTGACGCACGTATTTGTCTCGACAGAGAAGAGTTCCGGGTACTTGCACTCCTGCTTGTACAGGGTGTTGAGGATATACTTGTAGGGCTTGGAGCAGTCGATGTAGCGGGCACAGTTGTCAGGATCCGCAAATATGGCCGTGGGGAATTTCCGGCAGGCGTCTTCGATGCGATCTGAGGAGTACATATCCAGTTAGTTTGGTGTATCGCCGATATGAACAGTATAGCTAGCTGTCACATACGGGCGTGGCAGTTCCATGTGGCAGCAAACCCGAAGTGATTCAGACAGACGTTAACCTCTTCGGCAAAACCCACAAGCACGCATGTTACAAAGTGATGTGACAAACAACATTTTTCCAAGAGACATGGTTACCGTATCCTACCATGAAACCAGTGTGTTCAAACGACAGTCGAAGGATTAGGGTCAAGGAGTCCCACAATATACACATATAAATATGGCAAAACAAGCATTCCATCTCCAAACAGAACCTTAAAAGTGAACTTACTTAGAGTTTTCTAAAATATAATCCATAATTACGTATATTTCTGACGCCGTTTTTTTCCGAATTATCCCTCCCTTGTCATCTTGTGTCATCAAGGGGAAACTGGACTTTTATAGTCAATTAACTCCCTTGCCTCGGGAAGATGTCCCTTGTTAACTAACTGATCACAATATTTCTTTGGGGAGAGACAATATGTATCTTTGCTCTTTCTACTAAGATTTCCAAGAGCGTCATACGACTCTTGCCCAGAAGTTGTTTGATCACGGTTACAACATTCAAGGCCTCGATAAAGCTTTAAAAACGTTCTATTGTAGGCATGTGTAGGATATTTCCAAATTTGACGCATCAGTAAAAAAACATTATGTCCGATGCAATTCCCTGTTTTGACTTGACTTGACGTGTTTTTTCAGGTGAACAATTGACTTGCCTCTGCATGTGTTTGTGACGGGTGCCATCGGTGGGGCAGGGTGCGCTCACCTTTTCGCGAACACCTGGTGTCATTACTATTGGATAGTGATTTATAAACACATGCTCATGATGTAGTCGGAATTGTACAATCGACTCTGCTTTATGAATAGATTTCTATTGGATATGGAAAGGGTTTTGTCGCTATATTTATTTGAGTGTCGAGCCTGTATTACCAAAACTATATTCTCAGGAGCTTCTTAGGTTTATAAAAGATATCTTAAGCATGTGTATGACTGGGGCTTTGGCTGTACAGAATGACGTCAACCATGTGACGTCTCAGTGGCGTATGGTAAGAATTATTGGAGCGTTGTAACGTAACGACAAAGCATCAGTTAAATAACCTCGTACGTAGAAGTGAGTGAGTATGGTTTTACGCCGCTTTTAGCAATATTTCAGCAATATCACGGCGGGGGACACCAGAAATGGGCTTCACACATTGTACCCATGTCGGGAATCGAACCCGGGTCTTCAGCGTGACGAACGAACGCTTTAACCAGTAGGCTACCCGACCGCCCCCGTGCGTAGTCAACAGGACAAGACTATCAATGATGCACTCACACTGACTAATCGTCCCTCCACACGCCCCTGTGTGGGGGTTAAAGAGGTCACTCTTGCATCTGATGACGGACTCTGTCCGGTTGTTCCTGCACTTGACGAAGAGCGTTGAAGGCGGTAGTCCAGGGTAGGACTGGTTCCCGTCCTGCAGACCGACGCATGATGGTATTCTCTTTTCGCAGGGCAAGCAGTTCACCTGACTCTTGGGACAGTGCTTATTCTGTTCGTAATCACCTGCAATTTAATTTGACTCCATTTTACAAAATGCTTTCAAGTGTTTCATACTTAATGTTTGTTTGTTTGTTGTTTAACGCCGCACTCAGCAATATTCCACCTATATGACGGCGGTCTGTAAATAATCGAGTCAGGACCAGTCAATCCAGTAATTGACATCATGAGCATCGATCCACGTAATTGGGATACGATGACATGCATCAACCAATTCAGTGAGTCTGAGTACCTAACTTAAACAAAAGGGCCTATGCTTATACACACGGCCATGTACTGTTTCACATGTCGTTGAGCTGTGCCAGGATCCGATGATCGGTGGTTCGAATCCAAATTTCACCCCGATCACGTTCCTTGGTCTGACTGCACCTTACCACGCGTTTGTTTAAACTTCCCCTCAAACTGTGCCGACAAGTCGTGATATAACTGAATACGTTTCAGGCGGCGTCAAATCCGATTCACTCACTCATTCATGTCGCGGGGGGGGGGGGGGGACTTACATGGTGCCACGGGCTCGTACCGCTTCCCGCACTTGACGAACTCGGGGTCGATACACACGGAGCCATTAAAGAGTCTGGGGTAGCCACACTCGATGATCTGTGGTTGGCTTGAGGCACAGTTGATGTACTGGGCACAGTTGATGGGGTTTTGGGCACGTTTGCCGGGGTACGTCTGGCAGAAGAAGTTTACAGCGCCTGTTGATGGAAAGTGCAAGTGTGATCCATTAGCGCAATGGTGGCAATACACAAGCGGTATGCGTGTTATAAAACATTTGATGCAAATGGTAACCTATGCTCTTTCACCACCAGTCCCACTCATAGTGTTTGTTTGTTTGTTTGTTTGTTGTTTAACGCCGCACTCAGCAATATTCCAGCTATATGAAGGCGGTCTGTAAATAATCGAGTCTGGACCAGACAATCCAGTGATTGACATCATGAGCATCGCTCCACGCATTTTGGATACGATGACATGCAGCGACCAAGTCAGAGAGCCTGACCACCTGATCCAATTAGTCGCCTCTTACGACAAGCATAGTCGCCTTTTACGACAAGAATTGATTGCTGAAGACCTATTCTATCCCGGATCTTCACGGATCAAATGGGATTTCAGGTATCAAATACTCATTAACACCCTTTTGCCCCTTTATCTAAACATAACACCTCCTCCGTGTCGATCCTTATATGCGACTCACTACCCCAAACTTTTGACCACACGTAATCCATACAGAAACTGGTGTACATGATGTTTATAGTGCAGCCCTATACCATTATGGACCCATCGACACAGCACAACATCACCGAACACAACGCCCCAAGCACTGTTGAACCCTTTCCCTCCCGATGCTGCCGTTTCAAAAAACAAAGCTATAAAACCCTTTCAATAATCATCAGAAATTCCTGCTAACAGGATTATGGCAGATCGCTTCGTGAAGCAGACCCTTGTCCCGAGGTCCGAAAAATTAATCTGATTCAGAAACAAACACCCCATCACTTCGCATGTTAAATTTAACACTGAAATTGTCATTAGGATCTAATCTTTTCACATTAAAGCCAAGAAATGTATGTGTCCCACCACAAAACTCCCTACCCCTCTCCACTCACACAAACAACCACCCACCCAGTCCCCCACCCGACTGTCGCAGGTCCCAACCCCACCGACTGAGTGGTCAATGGCTTACTCTGGGTGAGAGCTGTCCTGCAGTTTTTGTTGACCGGGTCGAAGTACTGGTTGAGGCCGCAGTTCGTGACCACCACCAGCCTCTCGTTGCGACACTGGATGAACTCCTCGCCCAGCTCCCGACCAGGGTAGTAGTGTAGACCATCAATCTTGCCGGCACATGACGGCTTGGTGCAGGGGATCCCAGTGTATATCTGGGAGTTGACAATGTACTCGCCTGGAGGACGAAGAGGTGATCGTTTAAATATTGGTTGACATTGCACGATTGCATAGATCATGTCTCTGACAACCAATTTATTGCGCACTCATGTGATTGGTCATGATTCATATTATCTTTTACTTTGTATTAATATTTTTCATTTACATTTTTATATTTATTTATAATATTTATATATTTGTCTTTTCCTTACTTCTTTCTTTCTACCTTTTGTCATTTTCTTTTTCATTTTTTTTTTTTTTTTTTTTTTTGGGGGGGGGGGTCCAGCTATAATATGAGGCATTATGTAAATACTCGAACGATTACTACGCAAACCAGTGATTGATATTGCGAGCAACTATCCACATCGATTACGGGCAATCAAACAAGTCAATGAGGTTGACCATTTGGTCGCCTCTTTCGAAAAACATGGGTTGCTGGAATAGTTCATATAACGATATGGCATGTCATGATTAGTTGCACACTAATAAACTTAACTTTATCAAGATCCCCGAAATTGTGTTCTTTTATAGGAAAGGTTTATGATCGGTCATATTCTGATATCAAGAAATGAATTAACACTTGACAGTTTTCATTCCTGCAGAAATGGTATTAAACAAAACGTACATGTATATTTATTTTTTTAATTGATTGGTTTCTTGAAGTATACGTAGGAGCTGACAAATTTGAGGTTCATGTCATCGACCTCTGGTTTGATTAGTTCCAGGTTACAGTGATACAGCTTCAGTATTGCTGACTGACGTAAAACAACATTCTTTCACAAGCTTGCGTCGGTCGCTACTTACATGCGTCCTTGACCTCTGGACTGCTACCACAGGTGACCTGCACGTGGTCTTTGCATGTTCTAGATTCCACGTCAAACAGCTGGGGGTAAGGGCACTCTACTCTGTAGCGGCCGAACCTGCTGGCAGCCTTGGAACAGTTGAAATATTGGGCACAGCTGATAGAGCTGGGGTACACACCCGTAGGGATGGAACTGCAGTAGGTTTCCGCCTCGGCGGAGGAGGACACTGGAATAGGAACATGTTTGTGTAGGTGGTGAAGGAGGACACTGGAATAGGAACATGTTTGTGTTGGTGGTGAAGGAAGACACTGGAATAGGAACATGTTTGTGTAGGTGGTGCAGGAGGACACTGGAATAGGAACATGTTTGTGTTGGTGGTGAAGAAGGACACTGGAATAGGAACACGTTTGTGTTGGTTGTGAAGGAGGACACTGGAATAGGAACATGTTTGTGTAGGTGGTGAAGGAGGACACTGGATTAGGAACATGTTTGTGTTGGTGGTGAAGGAGGACACTGGAATAGGAACATGTTTGTGTTGGTGGTGAAGGGGGACACTGGAATAGGAACATTTTTGTGTAGGTGGTGAAGGAGGACACTGGAATAGGAACATGTTTGTGTTGGTGGTGAAGGGGGACACTGGAATAGGAACATGTTTGTGTTGGTGGTGAAGGGGGACACTGGAATAGGAACATGTTTGTGTTGGTGGTGAAGGAGGACACCGGAATAGGAACATGTTTGTAAATGTGGTGAAGGAGGACACTGGAATAGGAACATGTTTGTATTGGTGGTGAAGGAGGACACTGGAATAGGAATACGTTTGTGTAGGTGGTGAAGGAGGTCACTGGAATAGGAATACGTTTGTGTAGGTGGTGAAGGAGGATACTGGAATAGGAATATGTTTGTGTTGGTGGTGAAGGAGGACACTGGAATAGGAACATGTTTGTAAAGGTGGTGAAGGAGGACACTGGAATAGGAACATGTTTGTGTACGTGGCGAAGGAGGACACTGGAATAGGAACATGTTTGTATAGGTGGTGAGGGAGGACACTGGAGTAGGAACATGTTTGTGTTGGTGGTGAAGGCGGACACTGGAATAGGAACATGTTTGTAAAGGTGGTGAAGGAGGACACTGGAATAGGAACATATTTTTTGTTGGTGGCGAAGGAGGACACTGGAATAGGAACATGTTTGTGTTGGTGGTGCAGGAGGACACTGGAATAGGAACATCTTTGTGTACGTGGTGAAGGAGGACACTGGAATAGGAACATGTTTGTTTAGGTGGGTAAAGGCGGACACTGGAATAGGAACATGTTTGTGTAGGTGGTGAAGGAAGGCACTGGAATAGGAACATGTTTGTGTTGGTGGTGAAGGGGGACACTGGAATAGGAACATGTTTGTGTAGGTGGTGAAAGAGGACACCGGAATAGGAACATGTTTGTGTTGGTGGTGAAGGAGGACACCGGAATAGGAACATGTTTGTGCAGGTGGTTAAGGAGGACACTGGAATAGGAACATGTTTGTGTTGGTGGTGAAGGAAGACACTAGAATAGGAACATGTTTGTGTAAGAGGCGGCCAAGGGATACCGAGATGGGAACGTGTTTGTGTGAGAGGTGAAGGAGGACACTAGAATAAGAACATGTTTGTGTGAGAGGTGAAGAAGGGCATTGGAATAGGAAGAATATGTCTGTGTGAGAGGTGAAGAAGGAACACTGAATACGAACATGTTTGTGTGAGAGGTGAAGAAGGGCATTGGGATAGGAAGAACATGTCTGTGTGAGAGGTGAAGAAGGGCATTGGAATAGGAAGAATATGTCTGTGTGAGAGGTGAAGAAGGGCATTGGAATAGGAAGAACATGTTTGTGTGAGAGGTGAAGACGGGGACTGCATAGGAACATGTTTGTGTGAGAGGTGAAGAAGGGCATTGGAATAGAAAGAACATGTTTGTGTGAGAGGTGAAGAAGGGCATTGGAATAGGAAGAACATGTTTGTGTGAGAGGTGAAGAAGGGCATTGGAATAGGAAGAACATGTTTGTGTGAGAGGTGAAGAAGGGCATTTGAATAGGAAGAACATGTTTGTGTGAGAGGTGAAGAAGGGCATTGGAATAGGAAGAACATGTTTGTGTGAGATGTGAAGAAGGGCATTGGAATAGAAAGAACATGTTTGTGTGAGAGGTGAAGGGTTGATGTTCTATGAACTACCCATTTGAAGAGATGTCCTGAAGAGTAAGATATACGTTTATGCTTTGTACATGTACGACTGTTTGCACATTAATCGGATGAAAAATAATAATATTCTCTTTAGTAAATTATATTTAATATTCATATACACAAACTAGACTAACGTAAAAACAACTCTACTGAAACAAAGCCAATGAAATACCGGGTTTGAATTCGTGGACTCACTGTATATGAGTGATTGGCAGCGTCTAGTCGCGGTATTGAACTCGTAGGTAAGGGGACAATCACTGACGAGTGTTCGGTCCTTGGAGCAGTTGTAGTACTGAGTTCGACTCCCAGGGAGTGGGCCAGTAAGGCCGTCCGTCTGAGCCACACAGGATGGGTTGCTATTGGCACAATCCCGGCAGTTGGTGCCAACAATTCTGCAGTATTTGGTAAGGATGGCCCAGTATTCACCTAGGTAACAAAGAATAATCATGGCATCGTGGATACATTACACAAGGTGCACCAACTCCAGCCGAGATGGGCCACAAAGGCACGTTTGATAAATCAAAGTAATAATAGTTGGTTGGCGTGTTGTTTAACGCCGCACTCAGCAATATTCCAGCTATATGACGTCGGTCTGTAAATAATCGAGACTGGACCAGACATTCGAGTGATTAATATCATGAACATCGATCCCCGTAATTGGGATCGATGACATGCATCAACCAAGTCAGCGAGCCTGACCACCCGATCCCGTTCGCCGCCTCTTACGACAAGCATATTCGCCTTTTACGGCAAGCATGGGTTGCTAAAGACCTTTTCTCCTCCGGATCTTCACGATCCAGTGAAGATCCAAAGTAGTATTAGTCTGACTGGTAACAATTCGTCATATTGGTATATCCCCGTAAGCTAGGTTCCATTATTACCAATTCTAGATAGCACGGTCACCAGTCTAACGAACCATGGTAATGTCATGGTCATATGTTAACAGCAGTAATGGTGCTGAAGACGGCGTTTCCTGATTCAAAGGGTCCGGACTTACGTGGTTTCGCTCTTTGCAAATAACACAGTTTCAAGTTTTGAGTATGAAAAACAGTAGAGTAAAAACTTCATTATTACGGACCTCGATTATCCGGAACTTCACCTGACGACCGATTTCTGCTAGAAAAGAGTGTATATTATCCCGTAACCATGATTCGTAAAACCGGATATACGTTAATCAGGACGATTTTAGTGGGACGCTACCTTCTGGATTAATGGGGTTTCACTGCCCGTTCAAAATAGTAATCCATCTGTAGCCAGATCGGAATAACAGGGGTTCACTGTAGACATCTCATGAAACTCTAGTAATGCTTTTAAACATGTTTTGTCATAATGGCTAATTCAGAAATGAACAAAGCAAATAGCCGACAACATCACAGAAGCAATGCACCAGCTGCAATTTCATTTAAATGAAAAGCATCTTAAACGAACTCAGAAACGACATCGTGTCCAAATATTACTCAACATATATAACCCGGCCTTCATTATTTTCCATTCCGAACAGCTCGTTTATGTTATTTTTCGAGATGACACACAATACATGTGCCGCTCTGAATGCTACGCTTGTCGTACAGAGAATTTAGAAGCCTCGACCATGGCGCTCAGAAATGACATCGTGTACAAAATATTACTTAACATATGTAGCCCGGCCTTCATTCTTTTCCATTCCGAACAGCTCGTTTATGTTCGTTTTCGAGATGACACACAACAGATGTGCCGCTCTGAATGCTCCGCTTGTCGTACAGAGAATTTAGCAGCCTCGACACACAGGAAAAAAGGACGCGACCCCTTGTGGAGTGTTTATCAGACCTTCACCAGGTATCATATCAGAGTGCAACATCTCATTGTAATCAGAGCAACGGTATTCCAATTAAGGAAGAAAAAAGACCACATACATCTGAGTCTCGGCTCGTATCTTCGCCCACAGGCTACCAGGGAGTGGTCTTTGCAGGAGGCTGATGTAGGGTCAAACAGATCCGGGTAGGGACACTCGGTCAGGAAGCGGCCAAACGGCCCGTTCTGCACGGCACAGTCAAAGTACTGGTGGCAGTTCTCGGCGTGTGGGAACTTGGCTGTGGGGCTGCTGAGGCACGGGCCTTCCGCCTCCGTCGATGTTGTCACTGCAGGGGGGAGGAGTGAGTTCAGTCACAATCACAGACACAAAAAGAGACATATTTATTTGAACTCATCTAAGTACATGCGTTCAAAACAACAATAGAATCATGATAAAAAGTTATAAGTCTCCATTTACTGAGAGGGGCGGTGGTGTAGCCTAGTGGTTAAAGCGTTCGCTCGTCACGCCGAAGACCCAGGTTCGACTCCCGACAATAGTACAATGTGCGAAGCCCGTTTCTGGTCGGATCTTGCAGTCAGCTGTGTCAAGGGACGGGGGTGGAGGGTGGAGAGGGGGTGTAAACCTACTGACAGGGATTGTGGGTACCCCTCGGATCTCGCAGTCGGCTGTTGCGGGGGACGGGGGGTGGAGGGTGGGGAGGGGGTGTATACTTACTGACAGGGATGGTGGGTACCCCTCGGATCTTGCAGTCGGCTGTAGCCGGGGACGGGGGGTGGAGGGTGGGGGTTGGGGGGATGTATACTTACTGACAGGGATGGTTGGTGCCCCTCGGATCTTGCAGTCGGCTGTAGCGGGGAACGGGGGGTGGAGGGTGTGTGGTTGGTTAGGGTGGGGGGTGTATACTTACTGACAGGGATGGTTGGTGCCCCTGGAATCTTGCAGTCGGCTGTGATGGGGTCGAACTGCTGGGTCCCCGGGCAGGACATGATGGTGGTCCTCTGATCCTGGCACTGGAAGTAGCTCGACTGGTCCTCCAACATGGCGTCCTTGTATCCGTCCGCCTTACCGCGGCATGACAGCTGGGTTTCGTCACACGCCCGACATGACTTTATGTCTTGACACAGCATCACAGTGAACTGGATGTACTCGCCTGCAAAGAACATCATTGGGTTGGCATCATTTGACCTTCACGCAGCATCAAAAGTCAGGTTTCCGGCTTTCGAAAATATTCCGGAAACTTGTCTTGGTAATTTTCAACACTTTCTATATATTTCAATGACAAATTCATTTGACAAGGTTTCGTCAAGGTGTCAATGCCGGTCAAAGTGGGAAGGTTTCCGAAAGGTTTCCCGAAGGTTTCCGGACATGATTTTTATGCCGCGTCCTGCTTGTTTGTCTGATGTCTTGCTGAGGTAAGAAAAAGGTGAAACAAAAGACGTACATTTTCAATATTTGAAATATTGCTGAATGCATATATTGTTTTTAACAGTGGACAAAAAATACCCATACGTGCGAGAATCACCCTCATCTGCAAAATATGGTTCGCATGTCTTGCGATTTCAGTATTTACACTGGACGTGACTATAGCACTCAGAGCGAGTTGTAACCTTTACAAACATAGCCATATAGGGCCTGTACTTTTCAATACATGATGCTTTAGCAATTACTAACATCATCGGTCTTGATAACTGTTAATACAGTATCACTTAGCATCTAATTCGTCCGATATAATGTATGTTTACATAGTGGACACCACAGAGAGCGGAAGGTTTGTGGTTCGATTCCCTGTCGCGTCATATATAATGCTAAATGATGTTAAAAGATGTAACAGTTACTTTTTGTTTCCGTTCCTGGCTCTCGGCAGGATTCGGACTAGTACAATCAGCCATACACACACGTGCATTCACAAGCTAAATTAGTAACACAACCATGTTAAATACATTTCTCATATGTGTATGTTGTCAAGCAGATATAAAACAAACATTATCAAATGTATTCGATCGAGTACTTAAGCGTAGATTCACATCGACAAAATCTAGAACACACCATAGAAACAAGCAATGGTTTGCAGATGTACAGCACTTGGACAATCCTTCTCAGATAGAGAGACCACAGCAGAGCCCCGCAACACAAAGCGATCGTACCACTAGGACCATCCTGACTCCTATCCTTTAAATAGGCTGACAGTAGAAGCGCTACGATGGCTTTGTGATACGGGCCAATGAAGGCAACAGTTCACACAGCTCTGCGGCCTTTCCAACTTACATGGTGCCATGACCTTCCTTCTGGCTCCACACTCCGCGAGTGGGAAGTCAACACATGCTCCAGTCTTGCCGTCAAAGTGCATGGGGTAGGTGCACTCAAAGAGGTACTGGATTCCGTACTTGGGGTTGGGATTGGAACAGTTCCAGAACATAGCACAGCTGTCTGGGTGGAAGGCCTGGCGTGTTGGGTTGAAGGCACAGTACCTGCCAATATCTTGCGCTGACACTGTAAAGGGTGATTTTCAGATGGTCAAGGATATGGTAGTGTATCGAGGCGAGTCGGTTATAAAACAAGACAAGATGTTGACAATTGAAACTAATTGTGGTAACATTAAATAACACAACTCAATATGATCATATAATAACTTGCATCAGTGCCATGGGTTTCACACTGGATAGAAATTATATCAATATGCTTTGCTGTTTACAATGTCGTGTATTTAACGGTGCACTATGCTCAATGGTCTGGTATCCATTTTCAAGTTTTAGATATTGAACTGAGATAGTGTATTTGTGTAATTCTATCATTACTTTGAAGAATGCTTGATTCTGATTGCACAAAGAAGACTGAATTCAGACATAAAATTAGACTAAATAGACAGTTAGACTACCTCAAATATCAAAACACAGTAGGTAATTTATAAGTAATTAGGCGAAGCTTTAACTGGTAGATTGGTGTATATCATAAATTAAACTAGCAACAAAGTGGTATTTGAGGGGCTTGAATAAGGCTAAGACTTGCCTACCTGAGCATACTGCTCTCTCAACTGTTTGATACTCTTACTACTTTTCATTTGATACCTGTGACAATTTGTAATGACATGCTCCTTATTCTCCCGCAAAGCCTACCTGTTTGAAAGCGGGGAGCGGAGGTAGTGGTGACGGTGGTCGTGGGGATGGTGGTAGTAGTTGTGGTTGTAGTGGTTGTGGTCGTTGTAGTTGAGGTGGTAGCAGGTGTTGTGGTTGTGGGCAGTGCCTCGCACACCGACGTGGTAGAGTTGAAGATCTGACCCACGTTGCAGGTCGCGGCGACTGTGCGGGAGTCGAGGCAGGTGTAGAAGGCGTAGTTGTTGATCTGAAGTGCAGCGACGAAGTTGTCAGGCTTGCCCTTGCAGGAGGGGTTGGCGACGTCACAGGCGCGACATGATCCATCAGTGGTGCAGTACTGCCGCCTGATGCTCAGGTACTCGCCTTGTGGAGAGACGGAGCTTGGTTATGTTGTGGTAAGTCATGATCAACGGGGTCTTTTGCCACGGGTTAACTTGTGTGCAAGGTTCTCTGGGGTATAGGTTAACGTGTGTGTGCTGGCTTCTCTGGGGTATAGGTTAACGTGTGTGCAAGGTTCTCTGGGGTATAGGTTAACGTGTGTTTGCAAGGTTCTCTGGGGTATAGGTTAACTTGTGTGTACTGGGTTCTCTGGGGTATAGGTTAACGTGTGTGTGCAAGGTTCTCTGGTATATAGGTTAACTTGTGTGTAGATAGTTCTCTGGGGTATAGGTTAACGTTTGTGTACTGAGTTATCTGGGGTATATGTTAACGCGTGTGTGCGTGTATGTTTTTTTAGGTATATGTTAACTTGGTGTGCACCTAGTGTATGGATCTCTAGGGTATTATTAACATGGTGTGTCTGTATGGATCGCTGGGGTATTATTCATATGGTGTGTCTGTTAGGATCTCAAGAGAATTTTTAACATTGTGTGTCTGCATGGATCTCCAGGGTACTGTTAATATTGTGTGTCTGCATGGAGCTCCGGGGTATAGTTATTATGGTGTGTCTGCATGGATCTCCGGGGTATTATTAACATGGTGTGTCTGCATGGATCTCCAGGGTACTGTTAACATTGTGTGTCTGCATGGATCTCTAGGGTATTGTTAACATGGTGTGTCTGCATGGATCTCCAGGGTATTGTTATCATGGTGTGTCTGCATGGATCTCTAGGGTATTGTTAACATGGTGTGTCTGCATGGATCTCCAGGGTATTGTTATCATGGTGTGTCTGCATGGATCTCTAGGGTATTGTTAACATGGTGTGTCTGTATGGATCGCTGGGGTATTATTCATATGGTGTGTCTGTTAGGATCTCAAGAGAATTTTTAACATTGTGTGTCTGCATGGATCTCTAGGGTATTGTTAACATGGTGTGTCTGCATGGATCTCCGGGGTACAGTTGTCATGGCGTGTCTGCATGGATCTCCAGGGCATTGTTAACATGGTGTGTCTGCATGGATAGCCAGGGTATTGTTGTCATGGTGTGTCTGCATGGATCTCCCTTGTATTGTTATCATGGTGTGTCTGCATGTGTCTTTTTGTCTCTGTCTTCATACTTATGTAAGCTAGAGGTGAACACTATTCCCAACATAATTCATGGCTACAGTGGAGTTCAATAGATACACGTTTCAGTGTATGTGGTGTGTCTACGATAAAATCAAATTATGGTTTTGAGATGTAATGAAATGACAAGAAACACACCCTGTAGCAGTTCAGGGAAACATCCCAGTACTTACAAGGTTCTTTTTCGACTGGTCTAGGGGAGCACTTGGCCACAATATATTCCACGCATCTCCCCAGGAAGGAGTCAAACAGCATGGGGTAGTCACACTCCGCTACGAACGCTCCAAACTTGCTGGTCGGCAACGAACAGTTATAGTACCGAGCACACGAGTTTTCCACCAGGAACACGCCCGTAGGCTGCTGGGTGCACTCCACCGCAATCCGTGTAGGGTCCACTTAATAATAATAATAATAATAATAATAATAATAATAATAATAATAATAATAACGATGATTGACCAGCCAGGATCACTCAAACCCTCTTTGCTGCATTTATTTAGTTTAATCTTTGTATGTGGGATATATAAGTGGTGTATTCAACGTATGGTATTCTCCCCAAACCGCCTTTATCAATCTATCACCAGCGAATAGACATTTTTGGAAACTGGACTTTTGAAGTCAGTTAACTCCCTTGCCTTTGGTCATTCGCCACTTACCTATGGGCAGTGGGTCTGTTGGTGGGATCATACACTCTTGCTTGGCAGGCATGAAGATGGAGCCGATGACGATGCAGGTGTCGATGGTGGTGCGCTCGTTGTTACAGATGTAGAACATCACCTCGTCTGTCTGGATGGGGCCCTTGAAGTTGTCGGGACGCCCCACACATGACGGGTAGTCCGCCTCACACTGGGGACACAGCTGGCCCTTTGTGCATACCCGGCTGTATCTGCGCAGCACAGAGTCGTAGGAACCTGGGCAGGATCAGTTGCATCATCATCACCATCATCATCGTCATCACCATTATCGTCATCATCATCAACATCATCATCATCATCATCATATAACACTCCTAGACGCCATTGGTATTTATTAGTATATCTGCGGTAACCGTAACGCGGTGCGGCTCCCCTTAAACCATATTTGCTTGTCGGATTGGAAACTGTACAGGACTTAATGTTAAGGGGTCGACCGTTTGATATTCTTTGGGAGGGATTCTTTAAACTAAAACTATAAGCCTTAATAAAATAAAATCAAAAAGATCTTGCAATAATGTATTTTTTGTTGCTGACAATTTCTTGTCAAAACGTCCACCATAACGTTCGTTCTTTCGTTTGTTCGTTCGTTCGTTCGTTCGTTCGTTCGTTCGTTCGTTCGTTGCAATCACAAAGCCTGACAGTCTGACCGTCTCTTGCGACAAACAGGTTTCTGGCAAACTGACGCGGGAAACCAAAAGTTAAAAATATGGATGTGACGAATACTATTTGTGCATATGCCGCATAAATACAGCATATCCTCCTTAAGTGTGCATGTGTAAGTTTCAGTGTGCATGCAATATCACCAAGCCCTTGACCTGAACGTACATGGTGTCTTGAACTCCGTCCTGGAACCACAGCGTGTGGCGGTGACACACCTCCTGGTCGCCGTGTCAAACAGCTGCGGGTAGACGCACTCCCGCTCGATGGCCATCCCGACCGGCTTGCACTCGAAGTACTTGGCGCAGTGGTTGTTGTGGGGAATGGGACGAGACGGGTCCTGGGCACACAGTGTCTTGGCCTCAGCATCATTAGACGCTAAAATATAGAAATATACATCCATCAATCGTCATAGAACCCGTTTGAAACGTATGTCGTTATACTGGCTGTCTGCAGTATGCCTCTATGTATATAATGATGTACTTCTTACAGACAGGCATATAATGTCGTCATACTTGCTGTCTGCAGTATGCCTCTATATCCATTATGACGTACTTCTTACAGACAATCCGCATTGTTGTCATCATATTCCTCGCCAGCTTAAACTATATGCGTACATAGACCGTGACATATCTCCTGCAGGCGAGACTCATGGTCCTGCGACGCCACGCCACCAAACACCACACCACAAACCCCACAACACTGCACCAAACCCCACAACACCACACCACTAAACTACACACCACACCGCACACACAAAACCACACCACACAACCAGACACCACACCACACCACTCACAACAAACCACACCACAACTCACCACACCACACCACACCACACCACACCACAACACACCACACCACAACACAACACAACACAACACAACACACCACAATTCACCACACAACACCACACAACACCACACCACTCACAACAAACCACGCCACAACAAACCACACAACCAGATACCACACCACACACACAACACCACACCACACCACGCACACCACACCACACCACACCACACCACACTGCCCATGTACGTGCCGTTTACACATCATACGTCCTCCCATGCCTACACTGATGACGTACTGTTCACACACTGGTCACCTGGTGCCATCATACGTCCTTCCCATGCCTACACTGATGACGTACTGTTCACACACTGGTCACCTGGTGCCATCATACGTCCTTCCCATGTCTACACTGATGACGTACCGTTCACACACTGGTCACCTGGTGCCATCATACGTCCTTCCCATGCCTACACTGATGACGTACCTCCTACAATCGCGGCAGGCGTGGCCGAACACATGGCGCCGTCATATTCCTGACCGGACGGACACGAGTAAAAGGACGTCCTCTCGTCACGACACTCATAGAACCTGGTTCTGTCTGTGCTGATGCCGCTCTGGTAGTTGTTCTGGCGGCCCGCACAGGACGGGTAGTACCGCTCACATTCGCTGCAGATGATGGCATTTGCGCATGAGGGGAACTTGCTCAGGAACTGCTCATATTCACCTAGGGGGACATTCAGAGTTAAATTAATTGTTACAGTGCCATTCGCATAGCTTTGAGAAAACATAACAGACCGTTAATGCTGTGACAAATATGTCATAAATCAGGTTGTCATTTAAATCAACAGACACGTTAAGAACCTTTTTTTTATTTACAGATTAAACTACACGCAGCCGAGACAGCGAATGGTGCTTCTCCCAGAACGCGCTGTCCTGTCGAACCCACCCAGAACTTTTTGGAGAAAGTGAAGGCTCCACAACACTTCAGCTTTCTGCACTACCCAAATTGTCAGAAGGGTTGTATTCCTGGCCATCTGGGTACTCTCTCAATGCGGAGGTACCAAGCCTGAGGCACCGAGAACACTGGGGAGGTAAGCAGCTAGGTACTTAAGATGCAAGCCTGACATTTTGAAAGTGAGGTCCGCACATCTGCCATGTTTTTTTTCCTGAATTTTGTCAATCACATTAGTGTCAAAAGGGACAGAAAATTCAATGATACTCGTATACTAGTAAATGATTTCATTTGATTTCTCAAAAAGGACAAGTCCAGGTTTGTTGGCCTGGATAGGTGTGAGGTTGTATACGGTCCTATAATGTTGTATTTATCATTGTCCATGACGTCCTCTCCATATTCATGGATTGATCTCTGTGTCAAAACCACAGGCATGGCGAAGACGGTAATAAAATGATCGAACCACTCCATCATGTCGGTTAAGAAAATGTGTTTGTGCCAAAGCTGGGCATCAACTGACAATGTGTTGGACAGTCTCATTAAATTCAATGCATAATCTACATTTCATATTTACAATTTGAAGCAAATTCACACATTGACGGTTTCGAGTGGGAACTGACTGGTTCTGAGCAGCAAACAGAAAGCCTTATGTTTTACTTTTCAGGCCAGCCGACTTCATCCAAGCGAAAGACTCTGCAGGTTTGGTGTTCTTCTCAACATAGCGCACATAAACTGGATGCAGTGGTTGTTCAGATAGCTTCCCCTTGAAAAACTGAGTCTTGGCCGATTTGATATGGCACTTCGCTTGTTGATATTCATTTCAATACCGTCCAGCAGTACAGAACCATCAACAAAATCAACACTGACATTGAGAGTATGTCCCACATCCTTGGCTCGTTTAAGAAAACTCTAGAATGCCTTGTTTTCATCATGAGTCTTGACATGCTTCACAAGGGGATCATCAGACATATAAATGTATGCAAAAATGCACAATACAATTCTACCATGAAGAGCCTCCGCGTTAATCAAAGCACGCCCTCCCAGTCAGTCCCCTGAATTTCTTGTTTCGTCGAATCAACAACACCCAAATAATACGTAAGGACGTGTATAGTATTTGTGGCTTTGACTTTATTGCGGGCTTTCAGCTCTAAACTCCAGATTTTCTTAAGTCTACATTCGTACTCTGCCTGAATTTTCTCCTTGATATGAGCATTCTGGAGTCTGTCCCTAACCTGCATCCCTAAGTAGGTATAGGCCTGACATTCCACGAGATGGTCAATGACTCCTCCCCAAAAGTAATCTGACTGATCCTCGCTCTTCTAGCTTGTCACGTTTCAGCTGAAGAATGACGCAGTTGTCCAGTCCAAAGGACATGCCAATATCATTAGAGAATGACTCGAAATGGAGAATCTGGTGAAAAAGGGGTATTTGGGACATGAGCTGAGGAGGTCAAGGGTGATAACTTTCTCCCTTGCTAAGCAATGAGCTTGAAGGATTTAGTGACAAACAGAAAATCAAAGGACTAAAAGAATCTCCCTGAAATAGTCCTCTTCTAATAAAAATCATTATTCGGACGATAAAAATTTACATGAAACAAAAATTATCGGTTATATGTTCAGAATGATGATGATGATGATGATGATGATGATGATGATGATGATGATGCTGATGATGATGATGGTGATGATGATGGCATGAGTTGAACAGAGCCAGATCCCGAGGAGGAGAATCAGCTGTAGAACAAAAGAAAAGAAACACAGACATTGTCAACAATTATGGACATCTCAAGGGAAGGCGCAGTTGCAGGACAGATAGACATTGACACTCAGATACTTACACATCTGCTTGGGCTCCTTCCTGAGTCCGCAGTCCGCGAGACTGTACTCAACACACATCTCACTGGTGATGTCGAACAGGAAGGGGTAGATGCACTCTGACTCTCCCACAAGGTTGGAGCAGTTGTAGAACCAGTGACAGTTCCTGGAGTGGGGAATGATGGCAGTGGGGCTGGTCCGGCAGACAGCCTGGGCCTTCGTCAGAGTGTCCACTACAAATACACGTAATCAGTAGATTTGGTTTGTTTGTTCGCACTCAGCAACATTCCGGCTATTTGGCGGTGGCCTGTAAATCATGTAGTCTGGACTGGACAATCCAGTGAATGATATTGTGAACATGGTCCACACTATGGGAGTAACATGACACGTAAGCCAACCAGTCATCGCAGCATAGGTTGCTGAGATCCGTTCTAAACTGGAATCCCCTCGCGGAATCGCTAGATAAAAACCACTATAGCGTTGTATACAACGCCAAGGTGATTTAAACGCTTGGTTCTAGTCAATTCAAGTAATACGAAAAGCTGATTGTCTGCTTGCTAATAAATAAAGATGCAATGTTTCGGCACATATGGCTGTAGATCATTGAGAGCCTTTTAATAGTTCGATGTTGGATATTTTGGACAAAAATAATTTGTTTAAGAAACGCTGTCTCATGGCCTCAGAGGTACAATAATTGATCACTGGGGATGTTGGAGGTCCTCAAATAAGCTATGTTGTTCCAGCAATAAAACAAACCAGACAACCAATTGGGGGATCAGAAAATCCAGCGACACGATAGTTAAGCATGAAAACGACAGTTTTGAATGGCGGCCTGAAAACTTATTGAACCTTACCATTATCACGAGGAGATGTTGGAGGTACAGGGCCACGTGGTGTTGTAATTCCTGGTGACATCGTTGTGGTTGCTGCAGGTGTCGTTGTAACGCCGCTACATCCTAGCATAGTGGGGTCAAAGAAACCGGGTGTACACGCCGTGACGATGGTGCGGTTGTCTCGACATGTGTAGTACATGGTGTTGTCGCCAGGGTAACCAGAAGTTGCGCCATTAGGTTGACCAAAGCATGACGGAAAAGGGCACGTGCAGGTTATGTCTGCGACTTTGCAGGTGTTGATCCCGGTGTAGTCGCCTGGGAAACGCAAATATGAATCATGAATTTAACAAATTTACGAAACAAATTGTTTGCTACCTTAGTCGAAAGACGTATAAACTTAGCAATCATTACTTATCGGCTAGATATCTGCATAAGGAAACAGGATGTAGCTTTTATGTCAACGATGCGTACATCTCTTTCCACAGTGTTGTTATGGAAAAGGTGGTGATGACTATGAAACGAACTTTATCTTAACATCGGACACACTGAAGAACTTCTCATGTCCTAATCTCATCTGAAAACCTGCCTGTTCAGACCAGCTTTGGATTCAGCACATATTTTCATTGTTCTTGGGTCTTTACTAGTTTATGGGTTGAAAGGGTTTTATAATGCATAATTCCTTTTTTCATTCATTCATTCATTCATTCATTCGCACAATCTTTCATTCATTGAAAGCATATTTGCTCCCCGTGAAGATCCTGGGTAGAATAGGTCTTCAGCAACCCATGCTTGTAGTAAGAGGCGACTAACGGGATCGGGTGGTCAGGCTAGCTGACTTGGCTGATGCATGTCATCGATCCCAATTGCGTGGAACGATGCTCATGATATCAATCACTGGATTGTCAGACACGATTGTTTACAGACCGCCGTTATATGGCTAGAATATTGCTGAGTGTGGCGTTAAACAATAAATAAATAAATAAGTGAGTGAGTGAGTGAGTGAGTGAGTGAGTGAGTGAGTGAGTGAGTGAAGGTATGAATGAATGAATGAATGAGTGAATAAATAAATATATTTGCTTCTCCCTCAGGACTCACATCCCCTCACTTTCTCCACCCTCTCGGCACAGTCCACGTCCGTGTATGGCCGGCACACCTTCCCGCTGATAGAGAACTCCTGTGGGTAGACGCACTCGGACATGGCGGTAGGGGGGCTGCCGGCGGGGGAACACTTGTAGTACTGGCCACAGTGTTGGGGGTTGGCCAGTGCCGAGTCAGGGTGCAAGGTGCAGAAAGTCTCCAAGGAAGCTGAAACAACAGCGAGAACATTGCCTTGACAATTTATTCTGTCTTGGTTTTGACAGCTTGGCTTTAATGACATATGTGGTGTACATGGGGTTATTTACATATTCATGATACCATGTGTGTTTTTAAGGCGCCTTGAAACCGGGGCTCCTTTGCTTGCGCCTTGAAGATCGGCGGAAAATTGGTTGTTCTCTTGCACTGACGTTTGTATCATATAAGACATTTCACTGTAGCAATGAGACTGACATGTTTTAATTGGCTGGACCGTAGACCTGCTCTAAGACCAGGTCTATATGGCAGTACCATTGGATAATATACATACGTATTGCATAGACACGTGACACAAAGTTCAAGAGGCCAAATTTGGTGTCTCACATTTAACATATGGGTGTACCTTATCCAAAATCTCAATTTTCTCTCCGAGTTATCAAACTATATTTCTGCGATTCGAAAACAAAGACTGCCTTTCAACGTATAACATAGATTTTGGCTCAGTGTTCATGCACAGCCTGGCCTCTGTGTCTGTTAGAAGCAGTGTCGCAAACTTGCCGGCTTTCGCCTTGCATATTCATATAAGTGTACCTTGTCTTCTGATAACCGCATCAATACTGTCTTGTAGAACATGTTTTTCGATCAATCATAAAAAATGGGAAGATTCTGTGAAAACAGCTACCGTCAGACCAAAGTATCGAACGTGTCGAGAAGGTGACCGCCATTTTGAACTGCCATTTTGTTTGATTTTTTGTAGGTATTTTTGGAAACGCATGTTAACAGTATAAACATACATTTATTGACATTTATGGACATTTATGGACATGCAGTGAGTACTCACCAATGTTTACAGTAGGAGTGCAGGTCTTTGCCAACAGATCAAACAGTTCCCCGTTAGGACATTGTCCTATGGTGGTGAAGACCCCTCCTGTACACACCACGAAGAAGGCCGTCATTTCCTCGCCCACCAAGGGCCATCTGCCGTCAGTCTTCCCTGCACATGAAGGTAGCGTGTCGACACAGGGAGCGCAGCTCTGTCCCACACACTGGTGTTGGAGGTAGTCGCCTGGAAGGTACAGGTACACGTAATGAGGGCAGGTGAAATGGGGTTAAGCGTCGCGAATAAGATTTTTGCACTTACACATGTTTAAAGCACGTGCGGCCGCCTCCGTGGTCTTGTGGTAGAGCGTCCGCCCGGAGAGCGGAGGGTCCGGGGTTCGATCCCCGGCCGCGTCATACCAAAAGACGTAAAAAGATGGTACTTGTTGTTACCCTGTCTGGCGCTCGGCATAAAGGGGCTAAAACAAGGACTGGTCGGCTCGGAGTCAGTATACTGTGTCTGAGTGGGGAATTCATGTTAAACTGCGGCATGGTATCGCAGTGAGCTAGCACTATAAATCGGCATCAGTCCGGACTAGTACAAGCAGCCACGCAAACACGTGCATGCACGTCGCTATATAAGTGCAATAATCTTGGACGCGACGTTAAACCCAATTTCACCTCACCTCGGCTTAAAGCACGTGCATACGCGCGTGTGTGCGTGCGTGTGTGTCTGGCTGCAGTGTTAACTGACTCCAGAAAACACAGTATACTGACTCAGGGTAAGAGCAAGTAGAATCAACTTTCGTCGTTTGGCTGGGCGTCGAACCACCGAACGTCCGCTCTCTGGACAGACGCTCTATACACAAGGAACGCGAGGCGGTCTACCCACAAGAAAAACGAGGCGGTCTATCCACATGACCAGCGAGGCGGCCTGTCAACAAGACAAGCGAGGCGCTCTGTCCACAACACAAGCGAGGCGGTCAGGTCGGGTAAGAAACATTAACTGAGACGCATTATTCCATTAATTCATTAATTCTGTATGGTTCCGGCGACCCAGCTATTCGGTCCTGGAATCCACGCACAATAATGGCTTTCCAGCACTGGAATCTGGAGTGAGTGAGTGAGTGGGTGAGTATGGTTTAACGCCGCTTTTAGCAATATTCCAGCAATATCACGGGAAAATACCACTAGGCTACCCGACCGCCCCTCTCTGAATCTGGAGTATTGGTCAACTAGACACCTCCTACACATGGTACACTCAGATCTACCTACACATTGAGGCTGGTTGACGCCGGTAGTCACATGTGACCCTCTGTCTGTCTTTGCAGGTGTTGTCTGTCGGGTCGAACACTTGCGGGAACAGGCACTCGCGCACAAACTTGTTGAGGTTCCCTGAAGCCATCACTTTCTGACAGTCGTAGAACTGAGCGCATTCCCCGGGGTGGGGGATTATCATGGCCGGGTTCTTGGCACAGAACAGCTCCAGGGTCGCTGGAATGTAGATTGGGGTCATTCTGTACTATTTATTAATTCAAAAAGCAATACTTCGATATTATGAAGTTACAAAATGTATTTCATATTCAAATTGTAATTATGCAAGTTCCCATGCCTTCTAGTCTTCTCTACATGTATTATTAGAAACTATGTATAACTATGATATCTGATCTGTCCATGCTACAAACATGCCAATAATGTCACAATAAATCCATGCACACTCCATTTATGATATTGAAATGTAAAATATGATGGAAAATGGATAAAAAAAATGTTAAATTCTGTACAAACATGCATCGGGCATTATTATGTTCATTAACTTCCTTTAAATGCTATTGTACAAATTTCGGAATAAATTGTCTGTCTGTCTCTCTGTTTAAATGCTATAGCATCTTTGCCACATTGGACATATGAACTGCTACGCATATCATTGGGTAAACGGGTGTAGCGCTTGTGTTTGGCAAAGCATGTGGGTTTAATAGACATTCGTCAAAGGCCTTTTTGGATGATTACCCGGATATAATCGAAATGGAAAGGAATATATGAAAGATACTTTGAATAAGATAAATAATGGGACCGCCGTGATGAACTACTCCAGCTACATCACGACGTATCAGCTTGATTTGGGACTACGGTGAAACACTGGGGCGAACGTGGTGCTCACTGACCAATGATCACGAACCAAGTTCAAGGCGAACTTTTTTCGAACCTACAATCTAAGATCCGGAAGGCGTTGTACCAAACAACCTCAGCGCTACGACTGTCTTAGTCTATGTTAAGGTATGGGAGTCACGTTCACCTTAGTGCTAAGATCGCTTTGTACAACGGCACCCTGGTCACTGACTAGTTCTGCGCTTGCTGTGACCAAAAACTTAAAAATATGTCTCATTAATCTTAATGACTCAAAATACACTCAACATTGCTGTAATACCGCCGCCGAGACTCAAACTTTCAACTCACTTCTGAACATATGCCGTGGCTCGTCAACATTACTTGCTTGTGTTTGGCATTCAGCGTGGGCGGATACAGAGGGGGGTGCGGGGTGCGCACCCCCCCCCCCCCCCCCCCCTTTTTATTTCGAAAAAAAATCTTTATTTCTGTATAAATTACCACCAAAGACAATAAATAGATCTTAATTGTGCACACACACACCCCTTTTAAAAAAAGCTGTATCCGCCCATGTTCAGTATAATAACCTTATCACGCTGATTAATTCAGACTTATACGTCTCGATGTTCATCACACAAACATACCTGTGCTAATTTCTGACCCACATTCTTCTACCATCGGGTCAAAGATCTTGCCGCCCAGGCAAACCTTCATGTTGCGGGTGCGTTCCTTGTGGCAGTCCAGGTACTCGGAGGTCAGCGCCTTGCCGGCGTAGATGTTGGGGCCATCGGTGAGACCCACACAGCTCGCCTCACACGGGATGCACTTCTCTCGGCCAATGCAGTGGCCAATTACATAGTCGCCTGGAGTGTGGAGTACGGGATGATTTTGTATTGTCAGTAGGTATATTATACCAATATAAACTGTGATATTTTATTGCCTGTATAAGTTTGCTACGTACGCGATCAATCGCAAAGAACAATGAAGAACCAAGCGTGTGTTTATTCATGATATAACATTGTTTTATCATGACGTCATTTCTGGTGATTCGAACATGCTCGCAACTTGACTGGCCGACGTTATTCTTAAGAGGGAAGTGTCTAGTGAGTTGTTCTCCGTAGATGTAGCTGGACAGCGCAGATGAACGCAATAACCGAACGATCGGATCCAAAAGTGGGAGAGATATGACAATCGGTATTGTGAGAAAAGGTACGGATAATCGACGATCGAGCAAATTGGGAGAATATGCGGGAAATACCAAACTTAACCCCCTGTTCATAAAATGGACTTGCCCGACATTGCCGTGGTCGGATTCTGTTGAGGGTGTCATCATTATTTAAATACGGGAAAATATTTTTAAAGCTTGTTCATTTTATTAACATCCTAAAAGAGGCTGTATATAATATTGATGTATCATATAAGAAATAAACGACGAGTGGGGGGTGTTTCTCGTGCAATTTTTAAAACACTGCATGGAGAATAAACCATGAGGGGCGCAACTCGTCGTTTATTTCTTATTTACGCATCCTTAGCTAACAAGGTAGGTCTATTGGAACATGCCATCTTGATATGCGCCAATGGCGAAACCATTATTACCAATGGATCTGTGTGCACTTGATTTTCCTTCTCGACGCAAGGGCTAGAAGGTTAACAGGCACAATGCATCTCATCCTACCGGGTACCCAGCCACTGCTGGGTGAACATGGGCATATTTCGAACAAATCTCTGCCTACGGAGACACCCCATGAAACACATGCTTCCGTGTGGGGCAGGACCGAAGCGCTAGAAACTCTCAGGATTCAAGCTGCCGAACGCCTTAACCCATCCACCTACTCTCCGCGACCTGATTTGTTACTTACGCTGTACACATTACCACGTGCTACATGCCACCACGTGGTGGAGAAAAAAATATCACAGTACAGATTATCATTCCCCTCAACATCTGATCTGAATCAAAAGTTTCCTCAAAACGAGTCATTGGATTATTCGACACAGGATTTGGCAGTGTCACAAGTGACCCCGGAGACATTTACACGCACGTATATTTGCTACTCTGAAATACCCCAGAATCTGTTTGACAATATCTGTGTGGAAATGTTCCTGGTGTCCTAACATTGGCCTATACAGTTTCCTGATATAGATCCGGTCTGTGGTTAGTGGGCCGATATGTGCCCCTTTCACTGCCAAGGCCTTATATCCCCGCATCAGATTACCACAGAATGTCCTGGGACGCTATACACCAGTTATCATTCTCGGGGTCTGCAAACTCTAGGATACATTGTTCCTGCGGACATTGATTTCGTATGACTTGTCTTTTTTGTTTCTGTTTTTAAAACGCCACACTCAGAAATATTCCAACCATTTGGCGGCGGTCTGTAAAGTATCGAGTCTGAACCAAACAATCCAGTGATTAACATCTTGCGTAATGATCCACGAAGTTGTGACAGATGACATGCAATCAACCATGTCACCACCTGATCTATTTAGTCAACTCTTGCGGCCAGCATTGGTTTGAAATACTGTGGCCTCTATGACACAGGGAGCCAGTGAAGATCCGGGGTAGAATAGGTCTTCAGCAACCCATGCGACTATGCTTGTCTAAGAGGCGACTAACGGGATCGGGTGGTCAGACTCAGTGACTTGGTCGAGGCATGACATCGCATCCCAATTGGGTGGATCGATGCTCATGATGTCAGTCACTGGATTGTATGGTCCAAATTCGATTATTTACAGACCACCGTCGTATAGCTGGAATATGAGTGTGGCGTTAAACAACAAACAAACAAACAAACTTACATGGCGCCTTGGGTTCGGATCTGAGGCCGCACATGACGCCGGGGTAGAACTTGCACATACGGGCCACGGGGTCGAACAGGAACAGGTAGGGGCACTCGTCCTGGTACTCCTCCAGGGTAGAGTTGGGGCGGGCGGCGATGTTGCTGCAGTTGTAGAACAAGGAACACGACTCCGGGGACGCGAACGTTGTTATCGCCGTCGAGTTGCGTTGGCAATAGGTAGCTATAGATGCTGAAAGGCAGTAATATACTTGATGTAATCTACAAGACCGTGAACACTCCTCAAATAAGAGATACTCCCCATGTTTTACTGCTAATTGTATAATCGAAAGCATATATTCAATATTTAAGTAAACAGTAGCACGACTTGGGGAATGTGTATATTAGCTTGGAACTTCATTGACAAGAGTGGAGGATAGATGCTGAATGGCAGTTATATTTCATGTGAGATGCAATACAGTGACTGCTGATACTAGCAATTTTCAAATCATAAAAAATACTTAATATGTTTGATTAGTTTGTTTGTTGTTTAACGCCACACTCAGCAATATTCCAGCTATATGACGGCGGTCTGTAAATAATCGAGTCTGGACCAGACCATCCAGTGATTGACAACATCGATCCACGCATTTGGGTTACGATGACATGCATCAACCATGAAACATCGATTCATGATTTTTCGCATATCGATGTGATTTCATACTGCTGAAAGCCACCACTTGCTGAGATGTTCCTAGATGTTGTTATAGTGGTTCGTCCATTAGTGAGTGAGTGAGGTGGGTGTGACACCACTTTGAACACTATTTTTAGTTATACCGCATGTGGGAAGAAAACGGGAACAGTTAAGAAAGTTTAAAACGGTTATTTCTTTGGTTACATCCAGCAGAACGACTATGGTGCTGACAAATCCAGAAGCATATGTAGGCCGAACTGGCACGCCTCACGGATGCACAGTGAATCACAGCGACTAAGGCGATTACATACATGGAAATAGTACTAATTATTTAGAAATGCAAGAAATTCCGTTCTAATTTATCATCCTACTTACGTTTATAGTTGATGGTGCACAGCCGGGCTATAGGATCAAATACCTCCCCTCGACCTTTACACTGCTTGACCGTCTCGACCAAACCACCCTTACAGACAACGTACTCAACATCAAAGGGCTGAGTGGAGTAGCCATGTTCTCCGTCAGGAAGACCGGTACACACAGGGCGACCACACTCCAGGTGGTAGGAACCTGCACATATACAGAAAGACTACAGACCGGTACACACAGGGCGACCACACTCCAGATGGTAGGAACCTGCACATAGAGACTACAGACCGGTGCACACAGGGTGACCACATTCCAGATGATAGGAACCTACACACATGGAGACTACAGACGGGTACACACAGGGCGACCACACTCCAGATGGTAGGATCCTGTACATATACATAGAGACTACAGACCGGTACACACAGGGCGACCACACTCCAGATGGTAGGAACCTGCACATAGAGACTACAGACCGGTACACACAGGGCGACCACACTCCAGATGGTAGGAACCTACACACATGGAGACTACAGACGGGTACACACAGGGCGACAACTCTCCAGATGGTAGGAACCTACACACATGGAGACTACAGACGGGTACACACAGGGCGACCACACTCCAGATGGTAGGAGCCTGCACATACACATAGAGACTACAGACCGGTACACACAGGGTGACCACACTCCAGATGGTAGGAACCTACACATAGAGACTACAGACCGGTACACACAGGGCGACCACACTCCAGATGGTAGGAACCTACACATATACACAGAGACTACAGACCGGTACACACAGGGCGACCACACTCCAGATGGTAGGAACCTACACATATACATAGAGACTACAGACCGGTACACACAGGGCGACCACACTCCAGATGGTAGGAACCTACACATATACACAGAGACTACAGACCGGTACACACAGGGCGACCACACTCCAGATGGTAGGAACCTACACACATAGAGACTACAGACCGGTACACACAGGGCGACCACACTCCAGATGGTAGGAACCTACACATATACATAGAGACTACAGACCGGTACACACAAGGGCGACCACACTCCAGATGGTAGGAACCTACACACATAGAGACTACAGACCGGTACACACAGGGCGACCACACTCCAGATGGTAGGAACCTGCACATAGAGACTACAGACCGGTACACACAGGGCGACCACACTCCAGATGGTAGGAACCTGCACATAGAGACTACAGACCGGTACACACAAGGCGACCACACTCCAGATGGTAGGAACCTGCACATAGAGACTACAGACCGGTACACACAGGGCGACCACACTCAAGATGGTAGGAACCTGCACATAGAGACTACAGACGGGTACACACAGGGCGACCACGCTCCAGATGGTAGGAACCTGCACATATACATAGAGACTACGGACCGGTACACACAGGGCGACCACACTCCAGATGGTAGGAACCTGCACACATGGAGACTACAGACCGGTACACACAGGGCGACCACACTCCAGATGGTAGGAACCTGCACACATGGAGACTACAGACGGGTACACACAAGGCGACCACACTCCAGATGGAAGGAACCTACACATATACATAGAGACTACAGACCGCTACACACAAGGCGACCACACTCCAGATGGTAGGAACCTGCACATAGAAACTACAGACCGGTACACACAGGGCGACCACACTCCAGATGGTAGGAACCTGCACATAGAGACTACAGACCGGTACACACAGGGCGACCACACTCCAGATGGTAGGAACCTACACACATAGAGACTACAGACCGGTACACACAGGGCGACCACACTCCAGATGGTAGGAACCTGCACATAGAGACTACAGACCGGTACACACAGGGCGACCACACTCCAGATGGTAGGAACCTGCACATAGAGACTACAGACCGGTACACACAGGGCGACCACACTCCAGATGGTAGGAACCTGCACATAGAGACTACAGACGGGTACACACAGGGCGACCACACTCCAGATGGTAGGACCCTGCACATATACATAGAGACTACGGACCGGTACACACAGGGCGACCACACTCCAGATGGTAGGAACCTGCACACATGGAGGCTACAGACCGGTACACACAGGGCGACCACACTCCAGATGGTAGGAACCTGCACACATAGAGACTACAGGCGGGTACACACAGGGCGACCACACTCCAGATGGAAGGAACCTACACATATACATAGAGACTACAGACCGCTACACACAAGGCGACCACACTCCAGATGGTAGGAACCTGCACATAGAGACTACAGACCGGTACACACAGGGCGACCTCACTCCAGATACCCCGAACCTGCACACAGGTAACGATAACCAGGTACGTTCCCTATTTTGTAAATGCTATTATTTGAAACACGGTTTTTTACTGAGTGGAGGGCAGCTTCCGACAGCAACTATTCATTACTCACACTGGTCGAGCGGTGTTGGGGCTTGGCAGGTGACGTTGGGGTTGATGTTGGGGTCGATGCACGTTTTGGTGTCGCTGTCATAAAGCTGGGGGAAGGGACACTCATCTTCATACTGCAGCAGCCCATCAATAGGGATGGTCCTGTTACAGTTATAGAACATGGCACAACTCTCTGGGTGAGGGAACGTCAGAGTGGAGTGGAAGGGGCAGGTTGCGTTGGCCACATCTGCAAGATGAGCAAGAAAGACGTGTATTGAAGCATAAAACACACAACAGATAGGTATGCAGTGGTGTAAGTCAAGACCAAGAGGACATTTGTACGATGCAGCCGTTGGAACATTACGCTCGGCTTGTACTTAAACAATGATGCCAGAAGAGTTCCGTTATATCAGGCTTTATTTGAACCACCTGACCCCTCTGTTCGTATCACACTTTACAGATCACTTTCATCTCATGAAAGCGGGGCGGTCGGGTAGCCTAGTGGTTAAAGCGTCCGCTCGTCACGGCGAAGACCCTGGTTCGATTCCCAACATGGGTACAATGTGAGAAGCCCATTTCCGGTGTCCCCCGACGTGATATTGCTGGAATGTTGCTAAAAGCGGCGTAAAACCATAATCTCTCGCTCACTCACTTTCGTGAAAGCAATAGCGTTTCAAGAAATTCCATCTCTCAGCTTTCATTATAGATATATTTCAGGCCATGCCTTCTGAACTGTAAGAAGGTACATCCATCAACATATCAACTAGATAGCATGATGTAATATCAACAAGAGCCCAAGTTTGAGATATCGGCCGTTGTTACTTTTCAACTTGAATGAAGTAACTTAAAATTTCTATCCTATCAAATCCAGCGCGAAACAAAGGCTATTATTATAATATTCTGCAAAAATGTATTCATAATATGGGGAAAAATGTCTTCCTGTTATATCATCCGTATTATTGAAGTTATGCGGCCTTGCTCTTCTTATATCATTATACATATTATATAAGATAGCTACGCCATAAATCGCAAAGAACAATGAAGAAGGAAGCGTGGTTTATTTCAGGATAAAAAATGAGCTCGCAGCTTGATGACGTCGTAAATTGGACTACGCTATTTTTAGAGGGAAGTGTCTAGTAGGTCGTTCCCCATAGATGTAGCTGGGCAAAGTAGATGAACGCAATGGCCGAACGATTGCATCCAAACGTGGGAGAGATATAAACGTATTGGGGGAAAAGGTACAGATAAAAGGGTAACTATTTTTAAAGCTTGTACGTTTTATTAAGATCCTTAAGGAGGCTGTACAAAATGTCGATATCTCATATAAGAAATAAATTACTCGTGGCCGTTCTTTATCGTACAATATAACACTACGGGGAGAATAAACCCCTCGGGGCTGCACCCGAATATTTCAGAGTGCGGTGTTAAACAACAAACAACAAAAAGCATATATTCAATCATCAAATTGCATACCTCTTAAATTTTTACAGTTCCTGTTATCTCCAGAACAGCTGACAGCTCCATCAAAGAACTGGTTGGGTGGACACGTTTGCCAGTAGGCTGTTGTGTCAATACATTGCAAAAAGCCTGTGCAGTCAAAGTCTACAGCCTTAATACCGGTGCCCCCACAGAGGAAGTTATATCGGGGATAGATGCCTCTCGCTAACGTGTTGACCTCGGTGATGCAGCAGAGCAGTAGCGTTGATACTAGTAGGGACTTCATTCTGAAACAACAGGACAAGATTGTATACAATGAAACCTCATTTATCCGGAACCCTCTAATTCCGGAAACTTTCTTATATCGGACAATTTCACCGAGTAAGTTTTCAATGTCCTTGTATTTTATTTTGTTTTACATTTGTCGAGGGATGTGAATTTGATTAAAGCAGAGGATATAATTTGCAAAACCGGATATGATATTTATTTATGTAAATAAATGAATGTTTCAAATTCATTTATTTGTTGTATAAAATATGTATACTTTTTTGTTGTTCATCTGTTAACATTATATACCCTTATCAATTAGTTTCCACTCTTTACTTAAATGTTGCACTGCACTTGTGATTCCGGGTTAGAATAAAGGTCCAGTAATTCGTATTGAGCTTTTTTTCTTGCACTTGATTGTGGTAATTTTTTTATGTTTATGGTTGCTAAAAATCAATTCTACTGTTACACTCAAAACAGCCCGTTGGGTTTCCGGAGTGAAATTGTTTTTTGCAACCAATGCTTGTCGTAAGTGGCGACTAACGGGATCGGGTGGTCAGGCTAGCTGACTTGGTTGATGCATGTCATCGTATCCCAATTGCGGGGATCGATGCTCCACATGTCTATCACTGGATTGTCTGATCCAGTTTCGAATATTTACAGACCGCCTTCATACAGCTGGAATATTGTTGAGTGTGGCGTTCAACAAACTATCTAATAGTGCATTGTGGGTTAGCCCTGTGGTCACAGTGTTCGCTCGTCCTGGGAGAACCCGGGTTGGATTTTCATATGGATTTAATATGTGAAGCCCAATCTTGGTGATCCCCGGGGTGGAGTATTTCTAAAAGTAGCATCAATCAATTCTCACGTATACTCACCCTATTCATCGTCACATTTTTCACATGCCCACAATTCATTAAACTGATAGCTACAAAACAAAGGTAATTCACACGCACTAGAATACAATGAGGCAAAGGTGTCCTCTAACGTCATTTGATTGATACGCGCACTAAACTACACCCCAATTGATGGGATGAAAAGGTTACATGCGGTGGTCGGTGAGGATCAGAAATCGTGTTGAGTCGCACCTCCCTCCAGGCAGTGTAGGCTGTGTACCTAGTTACTGTTTCAGTGTGTTGTAAATGACATAGATAAAACTGTCAAGCGGATCACGCGTGCACGCTGAAAATGGGATACATTGCCCCGTTGATACAATACGCTGTGACCCCGTAGGAATTCCAAGGTAGAATTGGTCTCAAGTATGCTATGCTTAACTGGAAATTCGGTTCTCTGGCTTTGCTAGTTTCTGGGAATCCTGCATGAACTTGTCCCGAGTAACCTATGCATATTATTATAGTCAACTTCACTGGAAATACGGCTCTCTGGTTTTGCTATTTTCTGCGGAATGCGGCATGAACTTGTCCCCAGTAACCTATGCTTATTATAATAGTCAACTTAACTGCAAATACGGCTCCCTGGCTTTGCTATTTTCTGCGGAATCCGGCATGAACTTGTCCCGAGTAACCTATGCTTATTATAATAGTCAACTTAACTGCAAATACGGCTCTCTGGCTTTGCTATTTTCTGCGGAATGCGGCATGAACTTGTCCCCAGTAACCTAGGCTTATTATAATAGTCAACTTAACTGCAAATACGGCTCTCTGGCTTTGCTATTTTCTGCGGAATCCGGCATGAACTTGTCCCCAGTAACCTATGCTTATTATAATAGTCAACTTAACTGCAAATACGGCTCTCTGGCTTTGCTATTTTCTGCGGAATGCGGCATGAACTTGTCCCAAGTAACCTATGCTTATTATAATAGTCAACTTAACTGGAAAGACGGCTCTCTGGCTTTGCTATTTTCTGCGGAATGCGGCATGAACTTGTCCCCAGTAACCTATGCTTATTAAAATAGTCAACTTAACTGGAAATACGGCTCTCTGGCTTTGCTATTTTCTGCGGAATGCGGCATGAACGTGTCCCAGGTAACCTATGCTTATTATAATAGTCAACTTAACTGGAAATACGGCTCTCTGGCTTTGCTATTTTCTGCGGAATCCGGCATGAACTTGTCCTCAGTAACCTAGGCTTATTATAATAGTCAACTTAACTGGAAATACGGCTCTCTGGCTTTGCTATGAATCCGGGATGGAACTTTTCCCCAGTGACCTATGGTTTATGGTCGGCTAGAATGGATCGGGGGACCAGGCTTTGTTACTTTGCTTTCATGTCGATCCCCGTGACTCCATGTGGAGTCTGAGGTAGAATTGGTCCTCAGTTACCTGTTTGTAATAGTCGACAAACATGGATCGGGGCATCATATGCTGTGGAATTTTCGTGCTGTCGTTGCTCAACGGCGTGGATCGTTGTCACATTCTGTCTACATTCTATTCTAGCAATATCACGGCGGGCCTAATTGAGACACAGTTAAGTACGGACTGACGTGATATAGCTGAAACAGTACCGACTGCGATGTTATATAACACCCCCTTCACTGAATAAGCCGTGTTTATATAAAATGCTAATTAATACAAAACCAACTTCAATCAATACGCCGTGTACAAAAAACAGATTCAGGTAAATACAACACTCACTTCACTCATTACGCCGTGTATGGAAAAACAGATGCTAGTTCATACAAAACTCGCTTCACTCAATACGCCGTGTATAGAAAACAGATTCAAGTTAATACAACATTCATTTCACTCAATACGACGTGTATGGAAAACAGATTCAAGTAAATACAAAACTCACTTCACTCAATACGCCGTGTATGGAAAACAAATTCAAGTTAATGCAACACTCACTTCACTCAATACGCTGTGTATGGAAAACAGATTCAAGTTAATACAACACTCACTTTACTCAATACGCGGTGTATAGAAAACAGATTCAAGTTAATACAACACTCACTTCACTCAATACGCTGTGTATGGAAAACAGATTCAAGTTAATACAACACTCACTTCACTCAATACGCTGTGTATGGAAAACAGATTCAAGTTAATACACACTCACTTCACTCAATACGCCGTCTATAGAAAACAGATTCAAGTTAATACAACACTCACTTCACTCAATACGCTGTGTATGGAAAACAGATTCAAGTTAATACAACACTCACTTCACTCAATACGCCGTGTATGGAAAACAGATTCAAGTTAATACAACACTCACTTCACTCAATACGCTGTGTATGGAAAACAGATTCAAGTTAATACAACACTCACTTCACTCAATACGCTGTGTATGGAAAACAGATTCAAGTTAATACAACACTCACTTCACTCAATACGCCGTCTATAGAAAACAGATTCAAGTTAAACAACACTCACTTCACTCAATACGCCGTGTATAGAAAACAGATTCAAGTAAACACAAAACTCAATTCACTTAATACGCCGTGTATGGAAAACAGATTCAAGTTAATACAACACTCACTTCACTCAATACGCTGTGTATGGAAAACATAAGCAAAGTTCACCAGGGAAGAAATACTAAGTCCGCCAATACACCAAGATTGAACTTCTAACTTCAACAAGGGCAGAGTTGAATCAGCCATACATTCTCACAGAGATATGTTTCGGCAAGTTCAATATGCGGAGCTAATGGTTTGCATACGTCATTGTCAGTTTATATCAAAGACTCGGTCCTAAGTGAGAGAAATATATATAAAAACAATGCCTGAAGGGCAGTATATCCCTGTCACATAAAAGGAATCTAAGCAAGAAGGACACGGCCAATTTGTTAAAGCTTCACTTTTAATTATGCTCAGATTGACATAATTGCAAGGGATGGGAGCGCTTCACTGGTTCAGTGTCGCATAACAATCGCAAATCCTGAAGTATCTGAAAGGTTTACCTGTCACCGTTTACCCAGATGCCCAATGCAGGTGAAGAAGTAAACAGGTCTTTAGGTCTTACAGTCGACAAAAGCAGATTTTCGGGAATTATTTAGTTGAAGCACGTCATCTTTAATCATATACCTCTATTCTTTGATAGGTTTTAATAGTTTGGAAAACATGACGTCGGGAAACCTTTATGGATAATTTCTATATAATTTGTAACGACGTTTCAGGGCTACTTCTTGCCCTTTCGGGGCGGTCGGGTAGCCAAGTGGTTAAAGCGTTAGCTCGTCACGCCGAAGACCCGGGTTCGATTCCCGACATGGGTACAATGTGTGAAGCCCATTTCTGGTGTCCCCCGCCGTAATATTGCTGGAATATTGCTACAAGCGGCGTTAAACTATACTCACTCGCTCTTGCCCTTTCACCAGATGGATGTACCTCCCAACATCATGTGACTCTTAGGTAAAACTCTTACAATTAACAACATCACTATGGTAGGTTAAACTCTTACAATTAACAACATCACTATGGTAGGTTAAACTCTTACAATTAATAACATCACTATGGTAGGTTAAACTCTTACAACTAACAAGAGCACTATGGTAGGTTAAACTCTTACAATTAACAACATCACTATGGTAGGTTAAACTCTTACAATTAACAACATCATTAAGGTAGGTTAAACTCTTACAATTAACAACATCACTATGGTAGGTTAAACTGTTACGATTAACAACATCACTATGGTAGGTTAAACTCTTACAATTAACAACATCACTATGGTAGGTTAAACTCTTACAATTAACAACATCACTATGGTAGGTTAAACTCTTAAAATTAACAACATCACTATGGTAGGTTAAACTCTTACAATTAATATCACTATGATAGGTTAAACTCTTATAGTTAACAACATCACTATGGTAGGTTAAACTCTTACAATTAACAACATCACTATGGTAGGTTAAACTCTTACAATTAACAACATCATTATGGTAGGTTAAAAAGGATGTTAATAAAAGCGATAAATTCTTTTTTTCCTTAGACAAAAGAAAAATGTACTGACAGCACAGTCGGTTGAACTATTCCGTCTGTGTCACGAGCATGTCTTAATGTGTTCGCGAAAAGATGAGTGTATCCTGTCCAATCGGCGGCCCCGTCACAAACACACAC